TGAAGTTTTAAATACATACTACTTCTTGATGGGCATGAAGTTTTAAATACATACTACTTCTTGATGGGCATGAAGTTTTAAATACATACTACTTCTTGCTGGGCATGAAGTTTTAAATACATACTACTTCTTGATGGGCATGAAGTTTTAAATACATACTACTTCTTGATGGGCATGAAGTTTTAAATACATACTACTTCTTGGGCATGAAGTTTTAAATACATACTACTTCTTGATGGGCATGAAGTTTTAAATGCATACTACTTCTTGATGGGTATGAAGTTTTAAATACATACTACTTCTTGATGGACATGAAGTTTTAAATACATACTACTTCTTGATGGGCATGAAGTTTTAAATACATACTACTTCTTGATGGACATGAAGTTTTAAATGCATTATACTTCTTGATGGGTATGAAGTTTTAAATACATACTACTTCTTGATGGACATGAAGTTTTAAATACATACTACTTCTTGATGGACATGAAGTTTTAAATACATACTACTTCTTGATGGACATGAAGTTTTTTACTAATACATGAAGTTTTAAATACATACTACTTCTTGATGGACATGAAGTTTTAAATTACTAATTGGACATGAAGTTTTAAATACATACTACTTCTTGATGGATATGAAGTTTTAAATACATACTACTTCTTGATGGACATGAAGTTTTAAATGCATACTACTTCTTGCTGGGTATTAAGTTTTAAATGCATACTACTTCTTGATGGACATGAAGTTTTAAATACATACTATGAAGTTTTAAATACATACTACTTCTTCCTGGGCATGAAGTTTTAGATACATACTACTTCTTGCTGGGTATGAAGTTTTAAATACATACTACTTCTTGATGGGTATGAAGTTTTAAATACATACTACTTCTTGATGGACATGAAGTTTTAAATACATACTACTTCTTGATGGACATGAAGTTTTAAATACATACTACTTCTTGATGGACATGAAGTTTTAAATGCATTATACTTCTTGATGGACATGAAGTTTTAAATACATACTACTTCTTGATGGACATGAAGTTTTAAATGCATTATACTTCTTGATGGGCATGAAGTTTTAAATACATACTACTTCTTGATGGGCATGAAGTTTTAAATACATACTACTTCTTGATGGGCATGAAGTTTTAAATACATACTACTTCTTGATGGACATGAAGTTTTAAATACATACTACTTCTTGATGGACATGAAGTTTTAAATACATACTACTTCTTGATGGGTATGAAGTTTTAAATACATTATACTTCTTGATGGGCATGGAGTTTTAAATACATACTACTTCTTGATGGGCATGAAGTTTTAAATACATACTACTTCTTGATGGGCATGAAGTTTTAAATACATACTACTTCTTGATGGACATGAAGTTTTAAATGCATTATACTTCTTGATGGGCATGAAGTTTTAAATACATACTACTTCTTGATGGGTATGAAGTTTTAAATACATACTACTTCTTGATGGGCATGGAGTTTTAAATACATTATACTTCTTGCTGGGCATGAAGTTTTAAATACATACTACTTCTTGATGGGCATGAAGTTTTAAATACATACTACTTCTTGATGGGCATGGAGTTTTAAATACATACTACTTCTTGATGGGTATTAAGTTTTAAATACATACTACTTCTTGATGGGCATGAAGTTTTAAATACATACTACTTCTTGATGGGTATGAAGTTTTAAATACATGAAGTTTTAAATACATACTACTTCTTGATGGACATGAAGTTTTAAATACATACTACTTCTTGATGGGCATGAAGTTTTAAATGCATACTACTTCTTGATGGGCATGAAGTTTTAAATACATACTACTTCTTGATGGGCATGAAGTTTTAAATACATACTACTTCTTGATGGGCATGAAGTTTTAAATACATACTACTTCTTGATGGGCATGAAGTTTTAAATACATACTACTTCTTGATGGGCATGAAGTTTTAAATACATACTACTTCTTGATGGGCATGAAGTTTTAAATACATACTACTTCTTGATGGACATGAAGTTTTAAATACATACTACTTCTTGATGGACATGAAGTTTTAAATACATTATACTTCTTGCTGGATATGAAGTTTTAAATACATACTACTTCTTGATGGGCATGAAGTTTTAAATACATACTACTTCTTGATGGGCATGAAGTTTTAAATACATAATACTTCTTGATGGGTATGGAGTTTTAAATACATAATACTTCTTGATGGACATGAAGTTTTAAATGCATACTACTTCTTGATGGACATGAAGTTTTAAATACATACTACTTCTTGATGGGCATGAAGTTTTAAATACATACTACTTCTTGATGGGCATGAAGTTTTAAATACATACTACTTCTTGATGGGCATGAAGTTTTAAATACATACTACTTCTTGATGGGCATGAAGTTTTAAATACATACTACTTCTTGATGGGCATGAAGTTTTTTACTAAATGCATACTACTTCTTGATGGGCATGAAGTTTTAAATACATACTACTTCTTGATGGACATGAAGTTTTAAATACATACTACTTCTTGATGGGCATGAAGTTTTAAATACATACTACTTCTTGATGGGCATGAAGTTTTAAATACATACTACTTCTTGATGGACATGAAGTTTTAAATACATGTTTTAAATGAAGTTTTAAATGAAGTTTTAAATACATACTACTTCTTGATGGGCATGAAGTTTTAAATACATACTACTTCTTGATGGACATGAAGTTTTAAATACATACTACTTCTTGATGGACATGAAGTTTTAAATACATACTACTTCTTGATGGGCATGAAGTTTTAAATACATACTACTTCTTGATGGACATGAAGTTTTAAATACATACTACTTCTTGATGGACATGAAGTTTTAAATACATACTACTTCTTGATGGGTATTAAGTTTTAAATACATTATACTTCTTGCTGGATATGAAGTTTTAAATACATACTACTTCTTGATGGGCATGAAGTTTTAAATACATACTACTTCTTGATGGGCATGAAGTTTTAAATACATACTACTTCTTGATGGGCATGAAGTTTTAAATACATACTACTTATTGATGGACATGAAGTTTTAAATACATACTACTTCTTGATGGACATGAAGTTTTAAATACATACTACTTCTTGCTGGACATGAAGTTTTAAATACATACTACTTCTTGCTGGACATGAAGTTTTAAATACATACTACTTCTTGATGGGCATGAAGTTTTAAATACATACTACTTCTTGATGGACATGAAGTTTTAAATACATACTACTTCTTGATGGGCATGAAGTTTTAAATACATACTACTTCTTGATGGGCATGAAGTTTTAAATACATACTACTTCTTGATGGACATGAAGTTTTAAATTCATAATACTTCTTGATGGACATGAAGTTTTAAATTCATACTACTTCTTGATGGACATGAAGTTTTAAATACATACTACTTCTTGATGGACATGAAGTTTTAAATACATACTACTTCTTGATGGGCATGAAGTTTTAAATACATACTACTTCTTGCTGGGCATGAAGTTTTAAATACATACTACTTCTTGATGGGCATGAAGTTTTAAATGCATACTACTTCTTGCTGGGCATGAAGTTTTAAATACATACTACTTCTGATGCATGGACATGAAGTTTTAAATACATACTACTTCTTGATGGGCATGAAGTTTTAAATACATACTACTTCTTGATGGGCATGAAGTTTTAAATACATACTACTTCTTGATGGGCATGGAGTTTTAAATACATTATACTTCTTGCTGGGCATGAAGTTTTAAATACATACTACTTCTTGCTGGGTATGAAGTTTTAAATACATACTACTTCTTGATGGGCATGAAGTTTTAAATACATACTACTTCTTGATGGGCATGAAGTTTTAAATACATTATACTTCTTGATGGGCATGAAGTTTTAAATGCATTATACTTCTTGATGGGCATGAAGTTTTAAATACATACTACTTCTTGATGGGCATGAAGTTTTAAATACATACTACTTCTTGATGGGCATGAAGTTTTAAATACATACTACTTCTTGATGGGCATGAAGTTTTAAATGCATTATACTTCTTGATGGGCATGAAGTTTTAAATACATACTACTTCTTGATGGGCATGAAGTTTTAAATACATACTACTTCTTGATGGACATGAAGTTTTAAATACATACTACTTCTTGATGGGCATGAAGTTTTAAATGCATACTACTTCTTGCTGGGTATTAAGTTTTAAATGCATACTACTTCTTGATGGACATGAAGTTTTAAATGCATACTACTTCTTGATGGGCATGAAGTTTTAAATACATACTACTTCTTGATGGGCATGAAGTTTTAAATGCATTATACTTCTTGATGGGCATGAAGTTTTAAATACATACTACTTCTTGATGGACATGAAGTTTTAAATACATACTACTTCTTGATGGGCATGAAGTTTTAAATACATACTACTTCTTGATGGACATGAAGTTTTAAATACATACTACTTCTTGATGGGCATGAAGTTTTAAATGCATTATACTTCTCGCTGGGCATGAAGTTTTAAATGCATTATACTTCTCGCTGGGCATGAAGTTTTAAATGCATTATACTTCTCGCTGGGCATGAAGTTTTAAATACATACTACTTCTTGATGGACATGAAGTTTTAAATACATAATACTTCTTGATGGGCATGAAGTTTTAAATACATACTACTTCTTGATGGGTATGAAGTTTTAAATACATACTACTTCTTGATGGGCATGAAGTTTTAAATACATACTACTTCTTGCTGGGTATGGAATTTTAATTGTTGTAGCAGGTTATAACCTTTTTCAGTATCCTGTGATCTGAGTGTTATGCTGCCTTGTTTAACATTACACATGCTTTACATTATACACCCTTGGTACATTTTGTGATTCCATAATCTGTATCTATCGTAGAGAGAGCATAAGAGCCAAACTCAGCTATCCAAACTACAACTTTTTACTGCCAAATTCAAATTAAAATGTATATCTGTTTTTTTTTTATTTTAGAGTGTCAACCCTGTCCACCGCAGACAGAAAAAAAGGAACGAGGATGCTATCCTTGTCAGCATGTGTACATGTAAGTATATCCTTAAGATTGGATAATGCTATAAATATCTTATGTAATAATTGCATAATCTAGTCAACTGAATTTTCTTTTCTATTGTCTGTCAAAAGAAATATCTATTATTGGCAATTGAAAAAAAAATCATAAGAAACTCTCATATTTTTATATATCCCGTAATTAATTATCTATCAAACATTATTGATTATGCATTTTATTTCATGGATAATGCCCAACTACACTGAAACAGTTAAAGATTATCTGACTTGAAATATTAGCAATAGAAATCAGTTTAGACCTGTTGGTGTTATAATTATGACCGTACACCTTTCTTGTAAACAGCAATGGTTACAATAACTTTGTTTTTTTTTCTGATATCATTCTTCCTCCATGTACAATAATTCACTTTTTCATGTTTTTATTGTTTTCTGTACTTGTAATATCGTTGTGCTGTTAACAGGAGGAATACAGACGACCAAGACACATCGAAACCCCCACAGCAACAATTTCAATTAGGTAATGACATATGACAGTATATTTAACTATTTTTTAATTAAAATGATTCCATTTTATCTAGTCAATACATACTAATATAAATATACATTATACTATTTTTGCCTTGATACGTGTATGATAGATCTTGGCAATGTGATATTACGCGAGGTCGCAGACATGGGAAAAACACGTTACCATACTTCATCCTAACGTACCCATGGTTAATAATTTGTGGCGGTCGCAAAAGCAATTAGTTTTAAAATTCATTTTTCGGTAATAACCAATTTTAAATGACAAAAGGAATTACCACTTTTATGCTTGTTGTTCAGGCGAAACTTTATTTAAAATGTAATTACTTAACAACAATTTTTTCGTTATTGTTGTCCATTCGTGATTTTTCTAATGATATTTTCTCCCTATTTCGGATCAGGTTCCCATGTCTCAGAAGTGAACAAAACAAGGTAGGTACGACGTAGAAACCTACTGGGTTGAAAATTTCAAGAGTTATACTAAAAGATCCGTCATCTAAGGGACATTATGTTTGACCCAGTAGGACGGAACAGAATTATATTGCATATCGCATGCTATTGTAAACAGTGCTCTCCAAAATTTTGTTTCAATTGTTATGTTGAATCAATAAGTTATCGGAAGTCTACAATGAAATCAATACATAAAGTTAAATTTCAAATCGTCTTCTGCTTTGATTTCCTATGTATCGCATCTTATATTCAGCGAAACATTTGATTTGTTAAAAGTAAGGGGTCTTATTGTGGGAGGAAACCGGAGTACCCGGGGCAAACCAACATGGTCGACCACATACCTTTTTCCCGTCCGTTCCAGGAATCGAACCCTGGACGGCGAGGTGAAAGGCGAGTGCGTTACCACTGCGCCACTGTAAAGATATGTCATTTGTTGCTCCTGTTTAAGATAACAGTATTATTGAGGCTGCTTAAATTACGATACTAACAAGGCGTTGATAAAGACTTTTATGATCGAATATTACCAACACTAATGTAATCGTTTTTGTTATAAATAAAGAAACAGTTTTTGTTATAAATAATGCAATATTTTTTGTTAAAAGTAATGACATAGTTATTTTAATGTATGATGCAATGTTTTTGTTATAAAAATATCAAAGTAAACAAATATTCATACACGCATATTTTGGTGTTACTTTCGCCAAAATCGACTTTTGTATCTCATGTTTTTTTTTCTTTCTTTTTTTGTTTACCACACTGACAGGGATGTAACACATGAACTGGACGCGACATCGACATTGATATGTGAGTCAAATTCGTGTCTAAAAATATGGCAACAAACCAGTTTTTATAAGAAGCAAGCAAAACATAAATTAAGTGCCTTCATTTGTATAATATGAAGGGGTGTTATTTTTGGCTTTAATATATCTCATTCTAAATTTGTAAATGTATTGACTTTGAGTTCGGATTATTATTATGTTGATATATTGATACTCTCTCTCTCTCTCTCTCTCTCTCTCTCTCTCTCTCTCTCTCTCTCTCTCTCTCTCTCTCTCTCTCTCTCTCTCTCTGTCTCTGTCTCTGTCTCTCTGTCTCTCTGTCTCTCTCTGTCTGTCTGTCTGTCTGTCTCTCTCTCTCTCTCTCTGTCTCTCTCTCTCTCTCTCTCTCTCTCTCTCTCTGTCTCTCTCTGTCTCTGTCTCTCTCTGTCTCTCTCTCTCTCTCTCTCTCTCTCTCTCTCTCTCTCTCTCTCTCTCTCTCTCTCTCTCTCTCTCTCTTGAAAGTTTTTTTTCACTTGTGTGTCTTTTATTTAATTTTGATAACAGTGTTGGTAAAAATAAACTATAAGGTACCAGGAAAAGCGATCAAATCAGATCTTAGACAAAGAATCTAACTTTTTGTGGATGTGTACTAAATATTGGTGAATGTGACTAAATATTTGTGGATGTGCACTAATATTAGTGGATGTGTACTAAATATTTGTGGAGGAGTACTAAATATTAGTGGATGTGTACTAAATATTTGTGGAGGAGTACTAAATATTAGTGGATGTGTACTAAATATTTGTGGAGGAGTACTAAATATTAGTGGATGTGTACTAAATATTTGTGGAGGAGTACTAAATATTAGTGGATGTGTACTAAATATTTGTGGATGTGTACTAAATATTTGTGGATGTGTACTAAATATTTGTGGAGGAGTACTAAATATTTGTGGAGGAGAACTAAATATTAGTGGATGTGTACTAAATAATAGTGGATGTGTACTGAATATTTGTGGATGTGTACTAAATATTTGTGGATATGTACTAAATATTTGTGGATGTGTACTAAATATTTGTGGATATGTACTAAATATTTGTGGATGTGTTCTAAATATTTGTGGATGTGTACTAAATATTAGTGGATGTGTACTAGTGGATGTGTACTAAATATTTGTGGAGGAGTACTAAATATTAGTGGATGTGTACTAAATATTTGTGGAGGAGTACTCAATATTAGTGGATGTGTACTAAAAATTTGTGGATGTGCACTAATATTAGTGGATGTGTAGTAAATATTAGTGGATGTGTACTAAATATTGGTGGATGTGCACTAATATTAGTGGATGTGTACTAAATATTAGTGGATGTGTACTAGTGGATGTGTACTAAATATTGGTGGATGTGCACTAATATTAGTGGATGCGTACTAAATATTTGTGGAGGAGTACTAAATATTAGTGGATGTGTACTAAATATTTGTGGATGTGTACTAAATATTAGTGGATGTGTACTACATATTGGTAGATGTGTACTAAATATTAGTGGATGTGTACTAATATTATGTATTTGTGGATGTGCACTAATATTAGTGGATGTGTACTAAATATTTGTGGAGGAGTACTAAATATTTGTGGAGGAATACTAAATATTAGTGGATGTGTACTAAATATTGGTGAATGTGACTAAATATTTATGGATGTGCACTAATATTAGTGGATGTGTACTAAATATCTGTGGAGGAGTACTAAATAATAGTGGATGTGTACTAATATTAGTGGATGTGTACTTAATATTTGTGGAGTGTACTAAATATTTGTGGATGTGTACTAAATATTGGTGGATGTGCACTAATATTAGTGGATGTGTACTAAATATTAGTGGATGTGTACTAAATATTAGTGGAGGAGTGTACTAAATATTTGTGGAGGAGTACTAAATATTTGTGGAGGAGTACTAAATATTTGTGGAGGAGTACTAAATATTAGTGGATGTGTACTAAATATTTGTGGATGTGCACTAATATTAGTGGATGTGTACTAAATATTTGTGGAGGAGTACTAAATATTAGTGGATGTGTACTAAATATTTGTGGATGTGCACTAATATTAGTGGATGTGTACTAAATATTGGTGAATGTGACTAAATATTTGTGGATGTGCACTAATATTAGTGGATGTGTACTAAATATTAGTGGATGTGTACTAAATATTTGTGGAGGAGTACTTACTAAATATTTGTGGATGTGTACTAAATATTAGTGGATGTGTACTAATATTAGTGGATGTGTACTTAATATTTGTGGATGTGTACTAAATATTTGTGGATGTGCACTAATATTAGTGGATGTGTACTTAATATTAGTGGATGTGCACTAATATTAGTGGATGTGTACTTAATATTAGTGGATGTGCACTAATATTAGTGGATGTGTACTTAATATTTGTGGATGTGCACTAATATTAGTGGATGTGTACTAAATATTTGTGGAGGAGTACTAAATATTAGTGGATGTGTACTAAATATTTGTGGATGTGCACTAATATTAGTGGATGTGTACTAAATATTTGTGGAGGAGTACTAAATATTAGTGGATGTGTACTAAATATTTGTGGAGGAGTACTAAATATTAGTGGATGTGTACTAAATATTTGTGGATGTGCACTAATATTAGTGGATGTGTACTAAATATTTGTGGATGTGCACTAATATTAGTGGATGTGTACTTAATATTAGTGGATGTGCACTAATATTAGTGGATGTGTACTAAATATTTGTGGAGGAGTACTAAATATTTGTGGAGGAATACTAAATATTAGTGGATGTGTACTAAATATTGGTGAATGTGTACTAAATATTTATGGATGTGCACTAATATTAGTGGATGTGTACTAAATATCTGTGGAGGAGTACTAAATAATAGTGGATGTGTACTAATATTAGTGGATGTGTACTTAATATTTGTGGAGAAGTACTAAATATTTGTGGAGGAGTACTAAATATTGGTGGATGTGCACTAATATTAGTGGATGTGTACTAAATATTAGTGGATGTGTACTAAATATTAGTGGAGGAGTACTGAGTACTAAATATTTGTGGAGGAGTACTAAATATTAGTGGATGTGTACTAAATATTTGTGGATGTGCACTATTATTAGTGGATGTATACTAAATATTTGTGGAGGAGTACTAAATATTAGTGGATGTGTACTAAATATTTGTGGATGTGCACTAATATTAGTGGATGTGTACTAAATATTGGTGAATGTGACTAAATATTTGTGGATGTGCACTAATATTAGTGGATGTGTACTAAATATTTGTGGATGTGCACTAATATTAGTGGATGTGTACTAAATATTTGTGGATGTGCACTAATATTAGTGGATGTGTACTAAATATTTGTGGAGGAGTACTAAATACTAGTGGATGTGTACTAAATATTGGTAGATGAGTACTAAATATTAGTGGATGTGTACTAAATATTTGTGGATGTGCACTAATATTAGTGGATGTGTACTAAATGTTTGTGGAGGAGTACTAAATATTAGTGGAGGAGTACTAAATATTAGTGGATGTGCACTAATATTAGTGGATGTGTACTAAATATTTGTGGATGTGCACTAATATTAGTGGATGTGTACTAAATATTAGTGGATGTGTACAAATATTTGTGGATGTGTACTAAATATTTGTGGATGTGCACTAATATTAGTGGATGTGTACTAAATATTTGTGGAGGAGTACTAAATATTAGTGGATGTGTACTAAATATTTGTGGAGGAGTACTAAATATTAGTGGATGTGTACTAAACATTTGTGGATGTGCACTAATATTAGTGGATGTGTACTAAATATTTGTGGAGGAGTACTAAATATTAGTGGATGTGTACTAAATATTTGTGGAGGAGTACTAAATATTAGTGGATGTGTACAAGTGGGTGTGTACAAAATATTTGTGGATGTGTACTAAATATTTGTGGATGTGCACTACATATTGGTGAATGTGTACTAAATATTAGTGGATGTGTATTAAATATTAGTGGATGTGTACTAAATATTAGTGGGTGTGTACAAAATATTAGTGGATGGGTACTACATATTGGTAGATGTGTACTAAATATTAGTGGATGTGTACTAAATATTAGTGGGTGTGTACAAGTATTTGTGGATGTGTACTAAATATTTTATTTGTGGATGTGTACTAAATATTTGTGGATGTGTACTTCATATTGGTGAATGTGTACTAAATGTTTGTGGAGGAGTATTAAATATTAGTGTATGTGTACTAAATATTGGTGAATGTGACTAAATATTAGCGGATGTATACTAAATATTAGTGGATGTGTTCTAAATATTAGTGGATGTGTACTACATATTGGTGAATGTGCATTAATATTTGTGGGTGTGTACTAAATATTTGTGGATGTGTACTAAATATTCAACTGAATATTGATTTCACAGATGATAGAGTTATAAAGGAAGAACCAGTGGAAGTTGAGAGTATTATATGCATTCCTCGCAAGTAAGTTTAATCATGTACTTTTCAAAGGGTGCAAGGTATCCCTGTATATGTGTAAACTATTTATCTCGCTCGATTTACGTTTGCTTTTTTTGCGCTGTTCTACGTGACTATCTTTTCCTTGATATCATGTAACAGAGAACATCAGCACCGGTATAGATTTTTTTTATGAAATCAGAAATATCAGTCGGGCGGTGAGGAGATGGGTATGTTTTTTGTTAATTTGTAAACAATGACATTAAACTATATAATTGTACAATACGTAATGGAAATCGCATTCAGTCTGAATCAGAATATTACCTGCTGCACCATTGCAATATCGTAAGAAGCGAATAAACATGGAACCAAAACATTTCCTCTCTAAATATCTTACTTCTTAATACTCCCTGACACTGCCTCACTTTGGGTCCTGTGCCGTGGTATACACAATGTATTGTCAATATAATATGACCGGATGGGGTGTCCTGCTGGAGGCCTTCGACAGTGTAGTAGCATTATGAAATCAAATCCAGTCTCATTTATCACAAGGAGGTTTGTTCGAACGTATTAAAGCCCCTCACAACACACACATTCAATACACTAACCTTGCATGTACCTTAAAGTTCATGAATTTTGGTGGAACGTTAAGCCATGTAAACCAAATCATGATTTATTTTCAATAGATAATATGTACATTTGAATAAAAATAGTATTAACATGAATTCATTTATCGCGTTTCCTTCTACAAGTATATCTGCTCCATCAGAGGTTTAAGCAATTTCCCTCTCAGATGTTGGTTATTCCACGATACAGGGCACCCAGTTTGACTTAATAGTGCAGTAGCAATATTCTAAATAGCATTACTCTCATACCATAGAATAGAAGTTCTTATAACACAAACAATAGGCGATTTGAGTGTGTCGTTTCGATGACTACATGGTCACCGTCATCTTACAACACAAGTAGAAGATTCGGATGTGTCGTTTCGATGACTACACGGCCACCTTCATCTTATAACACAACCAGCAGAATATTCGAGTGTGTCGTTTCGATGACTACACGGACACTTTCATCTTATAACACAACCAGTAGAATATTTGAGTGTGGCGTTTCTATGACTACACGGTCTCTTTCATCAGACAAATGACCAGTGTGAAGCGTACCTAGTGTATAAGATGTTTGGAATTTTATGGCTTAACTATAATGCTATGTACACGTAGTGGAAATTGATGTGACTAAATATGATAAATGGATTTCTTATTGTTATAGAATATCTTTGGATTTTTTTTCAGTGCTGCTATTATCGTTGGATCACTGGCCATACTGGTAATCGTTGTGGCTGTTTTCATCGTCTTCAAATGTAGACGACATCACCGACAACCAAAGACATCTGATTACAACGACGATTCTCAAAAAGAAAAAAGTCGTAAGTACTTTTGTAACTTTATTTCACTCCATACAAAAATAAGTGACAGTAAGCCATGAAAAGACTGTTCAAAAGACACGAGAGTGAGTACCACCTATTGGTATAAATCTTAAGTTAGATAGAGTAGAGCATAACAATGAAATAGACAGATGTTTCGTCCTTCTAGAACTCGTCAGTGATGCTACGTCATACAGCTGTTTCGTCCTTCTAGGACTCGTCAGCGATGCTACGTCATACAGATGTTTCGTCCTTCTAGAACTCGTCAGTGATGCTACGTCATACAGATGTTTCGTCCTTCTAGGACGCGTCAGTGATGCTACATCATACAGATGTTTCGTCCTTTTAGGACTTGTCAGTGATGCTACGTCATACCGCTGTTTCGTTCTTCTAGGACTCGTCAGAGATGATAGGGTCCTAAAAGTTGAAATCTTTGAGACAATAGAGAAAAATACAAAGTATAGATATTACAGTTGCAAAGATAATGAAAACAATATTAATCCATCTTAATCTAACGATAGAAAAAAAGAACAATTTTATTATATTGATTTTCAGTACAAAAACAAGTTTTTCATTTTTTTTATATATATATATATAAATACATTTTTTCTATTCTAATTCTCATTCTACTTTTTTCTGCTTCAGTTCACGTTAAAATCAATTTTGTAGATATGATTGTGTATGTATATAATGGTACATGCATATGAACTTCAGAAGAAAGAAAACTTTATAAATATAATTTTGATTTTCAACAAAAACAAAAACAAACATATATACATTCATGCAAATGTACATGCTTGTCTATATTCATGCCGTAAGTGTATATTTTTTCGTATGTCTGTTTCCGTCCCCTGGATAACCCGAGACTCTATTAGAACATATATTTTTTTTCCTTATTATATTCATTCTATTAATATCATATACAGAAATGTCATATTACGTGATAATCATATTTTCCTGTATTATTTTGTGGATAAATAGCGTCTAATATGTAGTTTCTCTACGGAAATTATAATATTCATTTTTAATTAATTATATCTAACCAAAACTGTTACTAAATGTTCATTCATTAATAAATTTCAACTCAGGTATTATCTAAACAGTAGAATTATTGTAAATATTACCAAGTTCACCATACAATGTTATAAGTAGGCGCGACTAAAACGTATATTTTCATTTCAGATAAGGTTACAATAATACAAAAGAACTCGCTGCTCTTTAATATGGAGCACAGTGAAACCAATGTTTCAAAGACACCCAAGGCGGCTTGTAACGGTAGTGATGACACTTCACACAAAAGAAAGCCGCTAGACCTAAAGGGCAAAACAGTGGCCACAAGACTTATCCCAGAGGCACAAGGTATATGTTACCAGTTTCTAACGATACAGTATAATACCATCTTAACCACAATTCCAATTATGTATACATGGAATGAATAGTTTAACTTTGAGAAGCAAAAGGAGAATAAAATATGTGGTCCTGAAAAGTATTTTTGTCTTTAACTATAACATAACTCTTGGTTATTGAAAGCATATCAGAACGCAAGTAAGGGCTTCGTGTTTTAAAGTGATAGTGTACTGCTATTGTGTTTTCATATATCTAAAATCCCTTTAAAATTATAAAATAGCTACAACAAGAACGAACTCTGAAAAATAAATATTCATCGAGATATTTAACGTTGTTTGAAAAACACACCTGTACGGAATGAGCGTTGACTCCGTTTTGAGTACACGCAGATCTGTGACGTCACAAGTTGAACACGAATACCGCGGGTACGTTAGTCAGCCATATTTGTTTCGACAAATTAAAGCTTCATAGCTACCAGAGAGTTGAGATGATAATACAAAGAAGACAAAAGTGACATTTTAATAGATATTTAGAGTTCGTAACAGTAGAACCAAATTATGAATCAAACTGTTCCGTCCGTTAAGTAATCTCCAGAGATGTTAAAGGCCTAAATTTCAAAATTTTAAACTTTGAAAGCGACTGAGAAAAAATCCAAAGTGATCGAAAGAAAATTCACAACTAGCCCTAAGTTTCGTAAATTTCACATATCTGAAAATTCTAGAAGAATATTGAAAACGTGTACATTCTAAGCCGCGCCACTATTTCGAAACATCATTAGCAACGCAATCGATCCCATATTGAATCGAACCACGCACCTCGGGTTTTTATACCAAGTTCGATACTCTAACAGTTGAGCTTCCGTATATGTAGGAGAGACTAAACATGTTGAAAATGTGTTAAATTTAATACTAACAAGAAACAGCAAGATAGGAAAAGTGCATTTTCAAGACTCGTAAGTAAATTGATGTAATATTCAAACACATTATAAATTTAGATTTTTGTCTTAAGGACCTAATTATTTTGTATTTTGGTTTCAGATAGCGGATATTCGACAACCCAAAGTACCGTAGCTCCCACTGCTGTTTTGATATCCAAAGACACTGTGTATTCATCTGAAAACAATTGCAATAACAGCCCAGCTGGAACCTCGCTTTGTTTACGAAACGGAACATCTTCACCAACAGAACACGATGAAGAATCAACGCAGCTTAAATATTGTCCATAATAACCTTAGTTAAGTTATAATTTCTATTTGTGGTTGGGGAATGAATGATATGTTGTTCCTAAATAACGAGACCTAGACTGATTGTGGCTTCCTCGTTGTAATGTAGCAAAAACAGTGCTAATATTTACAGCAATATTTACCTAGAAAGCAAAAATCGTCTATATGTTTTGATACCAGCAGTTAGCAGTGTAGTTTATCATTAATGCGACATATCGGCAAAAACTACGAACACACCTTATGTATCAGGACGGATGGGAACGACAACGATGACGGAAGAAAAGTGGGTATGTTTCCATAGTTACATAAACATGCATAAGAAAGAGGGGGCATAGAAAGCGAAACAAATCAAAGACGGAATTGCTTTTTCCGTCCTTTACAACTTCATCCACAGTCGAAGAATGGAATTCTGTACAAGCTACCTATCACAAAGCCTCACCACTGAAGTAGGAACGCATTGGTGAACATCGCAAATGACGTCAGTCATACTTACAAATCGTTTATTGGTGGAATGAATTCCTGAGTCTGACTTGCATTCATGTATGCATAGGTTTAATGTGTAAAACTAGTATGGTAAGTTGCGTGAACTTATCGTTATAGTTTTTACGTTGTTTTTTTTTATCATACATGAATTGTGGCCTAGTAATTTTAATATATTTTACTCAAATCGATACATGAACACGTGACTCTCCAGGCGCATTTTAACGTTCAGAATAAACGGGTTCAAAAATTGGCGTATGCTTAGTCGCTTACGTTTCGATCTGAGCACTTCCGGAATAACTCGGACTAAAGGGACACCAACAGCCTTGTCAAAGACAGTCAGTTGATAAAAAACAGTTTTAATGAGTGGAGTAAGGAAGTTCGTGCAATATTCATCGTAGCTGGGTGTTTCAAGTCAATGTCAAGGCCAATATCCACTTTTAAATAATTCATTCAAAAAAATAACTTCCTTTAAATGCTTTCATTAAAAACGAGCTGTTTCATAACTTTAACTTCTCACGGCATATTTTTGTTGTTGTGTTCAGATACGTGTATTTCCCGGTGTATATGTAACATATATTACGCAAAACATAGGGCCTTTATTTTTTAAACAAATGGCAATTATGTATATATATGTATGAAGATGATAATGATGGAACGTGTTTATAACAGACGGATTCTCGTTTTTGTGTGTGTGTGTGTGTGTTTTTTTTTTTTTTTTTTTTACAAAAATGCTGTATTTACCTCAAAACTTAATGGCTTCCGTCGGAAAAAATAATTGACATTTGTGGACGTTTTAATAAGATAAGAATATGGTTGACAATCCTTATATTATTGTTATAATTGTTATACATCCTTAGATGTATATACTGTAAAAACATGAATTTTCTTGTATTTGTACCTTTTATTTTTTTCATTTTCCATGAACTCGTTGATATTGATAATTGATGTGTCCGCGAAATGATGAACAGTTTCAATTAATAGCATTAGGAATACTAGAGGATTTTGTGATTCCGTTTTCTTCGCGAATTTTGAAATCCGCGAAATTAAGGCCTCGTGAAAATATCTGATTTTACAGAAGAATCTTATTCAATCTTTGAGATTCTTATATCGCATCCTCTTTTCCCTACTTGTTGCACCACTTCCATCCTCTCTGGTTTGTATACTTTAAAAGGGAGTCGATTCACATCAAGTATTTTTTTCTGATTATAAGTGGTGAATATTGTATAATATAAAATTTTGTTGCAAAATGAAATAAGCTTACGCTAAGATTATCAAATTAAAATCACATGTACATATGAATTTTTATATCTTATTTTCACTTTCTCATAAATCTTTTATAATGGTCATTTTTCGCGAGAAAAGAAGACGATATTATTAGAATTTATTTTCTTTTCCAATCAAACATATCTCATTGTCATGTTAGAATGTCAAAAGAATTGGTCAGTGAGTTTTTCCAACTTATAAGTGACCTCTCTAGGTCACTTATCTCGAAGTGTGAGAGACTGTGGGGGAAATTTCGTGTTATACAAAACTTCGCATTTGAAGTATGGGTGGGACCGACGAATTACTTCGAAAAATAGTGTTTTCGTGTTACCCTACGTTGAGATAACGAAGTTCGACTGCAGCGAGTTTTCAACCAATATCGGTTGTTTTTCAAATAAGGATATATGGATTTCAGATCTTTGAAGTAAAAAAAAAAGATGTCTTTTACGAGATGTGTTTATGGTGATCTAACATCGTTCATTGTTATATATTGATAAAACTTGTGTCAAGCTAAAGCAATCTCCTGTGTAAAATGTTTTGGTATTAAACTATTTTAAAACTTATTTTCGTGTGATGTTTTTCTTTGTTTACCGTAGTTGGCAAAAGAAAAAAAAAGTCAGTTATGGCAACGACTCGGTGACTTTTATAATTTCAATGGTCGTATAAGGTCGGATGTAGAGATGGACATGAAGAGCGAAGAGAAAGGACAGGAAGACAGAATAAGTTTGAAAAAAAACCCAGAAAAATATCAAGAAACCGAAAACAATTTGAGGAAGCATACTTGCATGTCCATTTAAAGAAATTATTGAAAACTCCCTCTCATTACAGGAAAGCACTTTTAATCACCTCCTACTTATAATTTTTTTGTTATACTTTATTGGAAGATGAAATGCTGCTGACATTATTCTAGGCTATCCTGCCCAAAACTGTAAAAAATGTTCCACAATTTCTCTCCTCATTGTCACCGGCCTGGTTCTCCTAAGGAGGATAATCTTCTGTGACTCGAATTCTTTAAATTCGGCGCGCCTTTTGCTCATTAAAGTAACAATGGAGGAGAGAGAATGGCACAAATGTTGTGGGGCTGGGGGAACAGTCCACCATCAGCGTCTACTATTTTCAACCTCGAAGTGAATAGCACCTTTTAATACAAATTTAGATAAGACACAATGAAGCCAAACAATTAATTACTGCACCATACAGTTGTTTCTTCTTTCTAAGACTCGTCAATGATATTGAGGGCCTGAATTTTAAACATAGGCGACTGACCCAAAGTGATCGAAATGTCAATATCTAGATGGTAAGGCACTCTAACCCCATAATTCAGAAAAAATAGTAAATACCCCATCACTTGATAATGTTAGAATGTCGGTTGTAGCGAGTTAGGTACTTTAAAACGGATTGTCTAGTGTTGTGTTATGTTGATATGCTTATAGAATTCGATTCAGGAAAAAAAACCCAAAAAAAACCCAAGTTTATTTGTCATCTCTCCTAAACGCACATATATCAAGCATGATAGCAGACTTCGTGACCATAAAATATCAGTCAATTCAAACGACCACGAGCCGGATTTACAAGAGAAAAAACATCAAGTGAAAGCACATTTTATGCCTTTTAAAACCGCAACTTTAGATAAATTCGTCACTGATAAAGGACACGATATGCCATTTTCAGATGAAAAGAATTTTATTCCATTTGTGACAACACCGCGAGTACCAAAACAAAAGCTTCGTTCCAGAGATGTTACAAAACATGCAATGATAATCCCTTCATGTATACACGCAGGAAAAAGATTACAGAATTTTATACAAAACCGTACACCAGCATGTAGGTATAAATGCAATTATGTTATAATTTGATCTTTTCAAAAGAACAGAAATTGTTCACTATTAATAACTTAAACTCTTTACTGGGAGGTCGTCCGCCTAGGTATTAGACACATACAATTTTTTTTCAAGTAAATATACAACTAAAAAATCATATTTCAAAACTCTCACTGAAATTTTTATTTTTCCTCTCGCAAATGTATCTGTTGGTATCCGAGTCCACAGAAGGTCCAACAGCTGGATTGAATGGGTGGGCGGGAAGTCGGCGAAAGCCAAGCAAATATGGACACCTGTACATATCGCTACTAAGTCTACCTGTCTCACGTGAACCACCAGCAGCGTCCGTCGCACTATAACTATAAACTTTATTTATCTTACAACAATTGCGAAACAAGTTACTTCAACTTATACTAATCACTCTTGATGGCCCGGATGTAAGCGCGCGAGGGGTCTTATTGTGGGAGGAAACCCGGGGAAAACCCATGTGGTAGGGCAGGTGACCCCTTACCTTTTCACGCCCGTCCGTTATGCAAAATATTTACATAAAAAAGATGAATATATAATTTATGCATCATCATAATCATCATAACAGACCACAGAACATCACATCCTAATTATCTTCAGACATATTCAGTCTTCCAAACACGCTACTTTCCTTGTGCCATAACACAGGGATCATCAGCGCATTTGTACCACACTAACTGGATTCGGAAAAAAAAACAGCACAAAACATTCAAACTATCACATACATATGTATTTCGTTTTTATCCTATTTTCATCTTACACGTTAAAGCTAGATAAATGAATAAATAATTTGATTAATTAAACTTTCAACGCCACTTACTATATGTACCCACTCATCGTGACATTACCATAACTCTCAAAAGTTGGTATGGTGTTATTTACATGTGTAAAAATAAATGACGAGCTACAAATGCACTTACTGACGGAGCGAGTAGTCTCCCTTGACCGAGGTCTCCGGATTGTGTTTCCCTTGACAACAGCAACACAAGGCAGCCATAGTAGCAGGTTCCCGTTGGATATCAACGTATAGAAGGTTCCTGGCTCTTCTTTTTCACATACACATGTAAGTATAATATCAATGAGAGGGTTTATTATATAACAGAACTAACTTTTTCTACATATTATCTGCACAGCTATGTCTGACGAAGGATACACAGGAGCCAGGAACATTCCTTGACATTATTTTGTTTTGTATGTAAACAGGTACCAATAATCTGTGTTTTACTATCGCTCGGGCACGATATATTAATTTATGCCCGTGGACAGCTATCAAAAGATGTTTACATACAGTGCATGTGTATATATCAGTGTTGGCATATATATTTCTTGAACGAGATATTTTAATCTATAATCAAATGAAATTATGTGTGTCATTTCGGTAGAAGACAGTGTGTGAGTAGGTCCTATCGCCGAACTCACTACACTGCGATATTATTATTCTTACTATATTCGCCATTGTTTGCATGTATATTATCCTGTAAACCAACATATAGGAGGTAAATTGTTGAATTAAAGAAATTAATGGATCACATTATCAATTCACACAATTTTTTTTCTGTCCTCTAGAGCTGTTCAATAGATTGGGCACAACCCCACTTAGGTAGGCCTATACGTAATATTTTACAGAGACCCTAACTCCTACCCCTCGTAACCTTAACTGATACTGGCTCTAAAGGAAATGTTGTTATCCTGATTCATAGAAATAAGAAAACTCAAACATGTCCACGGCATTGATAAATATTGTGATACATCTCCTTCAGGTTCGGATGTACATGATATCACATTGAATTTTAAATTATACATCACAAAATATTGACACGATTATACATACATATTCTGTTGTTGTTTAAGTTTTTTTTATTATATTTTATTTTTTTATTCAGTTTTATCATCACAAACACATAACAATACATTGTACATCATAAATCTTCAAACTACAGCAAATTTGTTGACTTTATGTTCTTCACACACAAAGCAGATAATTCATTTTTCACCACACACATACCAACAGACAACCCAAGTGCACACTGGTATTGAATATACCACACATATGATACTAACCACACATACAGCTTACATGTACATACACACTTGTAGTAGCCAAATGTCACACATACAACACAAACCACCACTAGTACTGATTAAAACAATAATGTATGTACTTGGTATGAGACCATGCATCCTCTGAACAGTATTGGGTTATTAATAAAACATATATATAGATCTATAGGAGAATAGTGAATGTACATGTATAATGTACATCATACATACCCATTGTGTCAAAAATGTATCACCTTGCGTTCATACTTCAGCCATAATCAGAAGACATACATACCTTTTACATGTATACTTACTTACAGAAATAGTTTTCAAACATTTTCATACAATTGCGTTGTGGATGTTTAAGTTTTTTGTGTTTTTTTCTGGTATACAGTATAGACAGAGAGCACAACCAAAAATCAAGATGCCGCGCCCACGATCAGCAAATTCAGATATGAGCGAAGGGGATTTGGAGGTTATGGTTGAACAGGAACTGCAGAAACTGCAGCGACAGTTTCGCCTCATGGAAGGAGACAGAGCTGCATATACAGAAGAATCCCAAAACCTCATCCGTAGACAGAAGTAAGTGTTTTGTTTCTTTTTCTTCTTCTACTTCTTCTTCTTCTTCTTTGTACATAATCTATTATGTCTTTGTCTTTGTACATATTGATGCTTTATACATATGCAGTCTATTCAGTTTTCTTCCAAAGTCATCAAATTTCTTTATCTACTTTTACTGTTCGAAATTTAAAAGTTTAATGTGGATTACATACAATATATGCAATGTACATGTAGGCATAGCAAGCAGTTACATGTTGGCTCTCTGCCAAAGAAAACCAGATAAAAGTATAATAAGTTGGCTACAAGAATACTAGCTGCAAGCAAATTTGTAATGTTGTGAAGAAAACAGTGTTGTTTGGTTTTCCTGTTTTGGATTTAATTAATATTCATCATTGTCACGCCATTGATAGGATTGGAAATGCTGAAGGACACCATGACTGTAACTAATTAATGATGTGACGTGTTGACTAAAGTTCCATATACATATTTAAATTGTTATATCATGGCTCGGAGAGTGTATACATCGGACAACGTAGCATTTATATACAAGTATATGCAGACTTTGTCATTGTTTAAGACATTAAGAAAGTTAATGCAAAATATTCAAAAACATACAAAAGATGGAATTAATCATTTGGACTGTTCCTGAAAAATATCTAATTGATCCCATGACTCCAAAATTAATCCCATCTCTCCATACATGCATGGTTCACTCTCCTTCAAATCAGTTTTAAATAAAGTATAAATCAAGTTCTATGGGTGGTAGCCCTTAGTAAAATCTAGAGTCCAAGGGTGTGATAGTAAAATTCAGCAATTATTGCTTTGAGTCTAAGGAACTTTGGTAACATGATCCGATCAGCTAATGTAACCTTGAAAGGCAATCAGATAATGAAAATTAAATTAAAATGTATTCAAATATGGCAGCATACTTTTGACATATGTTGTAAAAATCACATATTTTTGTGGCACTTTTAATTTTCCCTGTATTCTGAAAATAAACATTTTCGTTGACACTTGATTTTATGGTTAAATCTTACTCATGAAATGTGATAATACTTTTCCATGTCAACTTTATGTTTAATGCTTGGACATAAACCACTTTCGGATTTAGAGTTACCAACAAATTCAATGAAATAAAATCCCCCCAAAATAATGAATGATTTTACAATATGCAAATTAATTTATTTCAGGAGAGAAATCAGTCACTTAGAATGTGAGAAACAGGAACTTATGAAAGAGCTTCGGCTGGCAGAGAGCCACCACAACCAAAACATGGATGAGGACAACACAGACACACTTGTTACTCTTGCTCAGGCTAAAGGTAATGAATTAATTAATGATGTGACAGTGTCTTGTCACCATCAGATACTTCTTGTAGAGGTGAAAGGTCATTAACTGCAGCAATGAAAATAGAATAATTAGCCATTCTTGTCAATCTGACAAAGGTCAGGTATAGTTGAACCTCATCATCTGAATTCAGCTGAACTGTGAAAATTTCAAGTTCAGAGTATTCAATTTAAGTGAATTCAAATGTTTGGTGTGAAGTTCGTCCAAGATCTGAGAAATACTTTTTGAATTAAACAGAGTCTTTGTGTTATATAAGTTGGAAAAAAATATGACTGTATATTTAAGTGAGTTCCCTTTTTAATTCAAATGCAATTGTACTTCAAATACTTAATTTCCCATTTCAGAGGATTATGATTCAGACATTGCCGATGAAAAGAGAAAAGCTGTAGAATTAGATGCTAAAATCAAAGAATGGGATAGAAAAATACATCACCAGCACAAAAATATGGGAGGAATACACATGAGTTCGCAACATACAGTTCAAACACAGAAAACAATCCGTACATTGGAGAACAGACTTGATACGGTAAAAAACATAACAATTTCAATTAACTCTTATTAAGAAAATTGTAGTTTAATGATCTGCAGTATATCTTTACTATCTTTGCATGTAACATGTAAACTTGTATCTAGAATTCAAGTTTTAAATGATATAATGAAAAGATATATATATTTTTCAATGACTATTTTTCAGGCCAAAAAAACTTTTAACGCCTATCTGACAGAAAATTCGAAATACAGAGAGGAAATTGAAAGCTTACGTGTCGAAAGAACAAGGTTTGACGGTCTGTATAAAAAGCTTGATAAGGAGCTCACAGTGGCCAGACGGGAAAAAGGAGAACTTATTGAAAGCTCAACACAAGCCTATGATGCAAGGTAATTAGTTGATACTGTTTTGTGAATATAGTCGTTTTTGTAAGAGATTTAATAACTTTAGGAAACTTCTGAAATCTGTTTTTTTTTCTAGAATGGACTCTTATCTATTGAGAGGTAATTTAAATTCAATCAGCTTTAGTAAGCTTTTCAGCATGGCAGGGATCACTTTGAGGAAAGATTGAGGGGTTTTTACAAAAAGTTTTTCCTGAAAATTTAATTGAAATATTCGGAATGTGCTATAATGTATGGAAAATCCTACCCATTTTCTCCCCCAAAAAAGTTTTTTTTTAAATTTTCCCCTAACATTAATGACATATAATCAACCCTATTTACAGTAAACTGTAACCGAGTCTAACCAAATTTAGGCCAATATAATCCATTCAAGTTGTATGATACTGTACTTATGAAAATAAATTAAGAGATCAAACTATTAGAGCTGACATCACCCAAAATTGTGAGGAACTCTAAACATTCTGTTTGTAGGGACGAGGCTCAGGCAAAAATGATTCTGCTGAAGGAAAAAGCAGATAAGGACATGCAGCAACACAATGCTGAAATGAAGGAATTGCTTCGCATAATTGCATAATTGACTTTGACCCCCTTGGAATGATCTCGACCCCTAGGGTAGGATTAATAGAATCTTTGACTCCCGCGATTTCATGGGGATCAAGGGCCAGGAGAGACCAAACTTGCAGAGTGTTAACAACACAATTGGCTGGTACTCATATATGGCAGCAATTCACATTGTCTGTCTGATTTAATTTTTGAGATAACGTCATATTATTGTTCTGACAGGGGAATCCCCCATTTCAACCCCAGGGTGAGACTAGTAAAATCTTACATTGGTAAAAAAGCATTGAAATACTGGTCCAGACTAAGAGAAAGTTTTATCACCACTTATATAAGGTGGTAAAAATAATAACAGTAATTATTTCAAGTCCAGCTTGTTTTCAACGTCATTACACTGGTATGATAACAAGATGTTAGAAGAACTAGTTGATAAACAACATCCACATGACTCATTAAAAAATCCTAAATATGCAGCAAAAAAACTTATTTAAGTATATAAGTCAATCGCAACAGGTTCGGGATAAGTTGATTTTTTATTAGTGTGAAACGTCTACCGGTTTCGCCCGAACAATGGGCTTCTTCAGGACTGTTCGGGCAAAACTTATTTAAGATACATTTTAATAAAAAATGTGAATTTTTATTTCATATGTGAAAAATAAATTCGAGTATTGTTTAAATAGAACAATAGAACATGCTGCCAAAAATGTGACATATTTAGGATATTGTGTTGTAGACACTGATTAAATTTTCCTTTCTTTCATGATAAAATTGGAATTTGAATGTCTCTCAATGGTATGAAATCAGACACATTATATCTTTTAGTTGCTGTAAAATCATATATTTCAGTGGGGCTCAATTATTTTTCTGATCCTTTTATAAAAATTGCTGTTTTGTGGATTTCTGGTTTTATGGATAAATATGTATAGCTCAATAAATCTACTTATACAGTGTCCTAATGGCATTTATAATATTATGAACACTTTGTACTCATAAAATCAGGAAATTAAAACCCATTCAAAAATTATTTATTTTACTGTAAACGTTGTAATGGATACAGTGTCAGCCAAGTAAGATTTAAATACAAGAATATGAAAGTGGAAGAAATAAAAAAAATATGTCATACACTCATTTCTCAGAGGCCATAGAAGCTGACCGCAAGAAGGAAAGTCAAGAAGATTCTGTGGAAACTTATGAGGCAGCTTTCGAGAGGATTAGAGAGATGACCAATGAAACTGATCTGGATCTGTTGGTTGCTAAATTCATCGAAGTGGAGGATAGGAACTTTGCCCTCTTTAATTTTGTCAATGAGCAAAACAATGAGATTGAAACACTACAGGAGCAGATTGAAGATGTGAGTTCACAAATATAGGGACAAAAATTATCTTATCAAAGTGCAAACAATAAAACTGGTGGTTAAGTCCAGTGAATGCATTGCAGATTAAAAAAGTGCCATGTTGCTAGAAGATGAGGATAATGATTATTGTATATGAGTATATGTAACACTGTAAATACTGGCTGCAATATACTGCTCAGCTAGGGAGATCGTCTCATTAAATTGATTGGTTGAGAATAAGACTGATACGCCAGTGGTCCTCGATTAGAGGCATTACAAAGACAAGATGGCATCTGTTATGATTTTGTATTGTGCTACAATACTGTATTCTTGTTAGATTTCACACGGCTATAATATTTCGTAGTTTTCCCAGTTTGGGCTAGTTTAAAGATATTAAATTTGCTTCATATCTGTGAACTGATATCAATGTATATGAGCAGAACAGATGATTTCTGAGATTTTCATTCACAGTAGCAATGTTTGATGAATATTTCACACAAACTTTATTGACAACAAATATAGCAAAATTATATCCTTCTCAAATTCAATAAGTCGGTACTTTGTGTTAATATTTTTGTGTCGGCCATCTTTGCTTATTACAAGATAAGATTCAGAAAATTAATATTCATGTCATTCCATTTTAGATAAATAACGAAATAGAAAAATTCAAACTGCAAGGTATTGAACTGGAAGATCAGAGGAAGAAAATACTGAAGGAACTGGAAGAGCAGAGTAACACTGCTGCTGCTAATGGTGATGCTGCTGATGGAAAGAATAAAGGAATCACAAAGATTCTGGATCAACTTCGAGCAGGTAAATTAAAAGTAGGGAAGTAATGATACACCTGTATTTCGTAATACACAAAAACAATGTATGACTTCATGATTTCACGGTTCAATAAACACATACCTGTACATTGCAATATCCCACATTTTGAGCATTTTATGTAAATTTCTTCAGGATTCTTAATCATCAAAATCTGTTGCTAAATTTGAAATGGTCCTGCACCCTTTTTTTTTTTTTGAGGGATTCTTAATCATCAAAAATTGTAGCAAAATTTGAAATGGTCCTGCACATTTTTTTTTTTTTTTTTGAGGGATTCTTAATCATCAAAAATTGTAGCAAAATTTGAAATGGTCCTGCACATTTTTTTTTTTTTTTTTTGAGGGATTCTTAATCATCAAAAATTGTAGCAAAATTTGAAATGGTCCTGCACATTTTTTTAAACTTGGACACTTGTAAGAGTGAAGTCACAAGTCATGAGACCTTGCAAGTGCTTATGAAAATGAAGTGACTGTAAGACCCTGTTTCAGTCAGTAACAAAAATTGTATGATTTTTCATGTCTTTTACCCATCAACCCATTGCTATAACTGCCGTTTTAGAACAGAGCCCCAAAATCAATGTCAAAACTATGAAAGGTGATATATCATGGCACATGTTGTGATTCACTCTTGATGTATCATTATATAAATGATCTGCTTCAGCCATATCAATACACTCCTAGTTGTAAAATAATAGTAAAATGTCTTTTAAAATGGAGGGTTATTTTGGTAAATATAAGGTATAAACTATATGATAAACTGAACATTATGTTTCAGTTAAGAAAGCATTTACGCCAGATAAAAAGAAATAAAGATATGAATTATTAAAAAGAAAAGTTAATAAATTGAAATTTGAAGGATTGAATATTTCAGTATCATTGTGTATGAACCTTTGTCATCATGGTTGATGTACGTGATATATATGTTTTTTTTTTTATGTACAGGTATATCATCCTTATTTAGCAAGATCAACTGTGACAAGTCTGCTATCGATGACATGTTAGGAGCAGCCTCAGGTGTGACAGACTCCAACATGATACAATACCTAGGAATTATTGAACAGCGTACCAACGAACTCTTGGCTGTACAAGGATATGTCAACTCTAAGGTAAAGATTGGTATTGATCTGTGTCCATCATCTTTCCTTTTTTGTGACATAATAAAGGAAGATTTTCAAAAAATATAAATACATCAAAATATGTTTCTTTACAGAATTTTTTTTTCTGTAAAGGTTAATTTTTTTGTAATTTTAATAAACACTTGAAAAAATGTATCTTTTTTAAAGGAATTCATGCAATGATTTTTTTTTTTTTTTTTTTTTTAATTTTATTTTCATGTTTTCAATTTTTCATGATTTTGTTCAATCCTTGAAAACATCTTAACATAAAACCCTTCAGAACTATTTTTATTAATTTAAAGAATATAAAGCTTAATCACGTATCACCAGTATTTTATCCTTAAAAGAAATATATTATATGTATAGGGGAATGATATATTCTGTTTCTCGACATCACACATCTGTTGAAAATTTTGGGTTCCATTGTCATTGATTAACTCCCATATACAATGTGTTTAAAAAATTTGATACACTTTTATATTTTCAGATGGAATTTCAAATTATCATACTTAAGACATTCCTGTTTACATTTGTCATAAAATTTTTTTAGGACCTTGACAAGAAACTCCCAGTTGGAGCTTTCTTAGGAGAGGGACCAAATCCACCTCAATCCCAGTTACCTATTATACCACCTGCTGTTGGGTAAGTATATCACACAAACAAATTCAGGGCTTTTTAAGGTATTTTTGGGGTCGATAATCAGACCCATTCCCTTTTCCCTATTTTTCATTCATATTAAAGCCAAACTTCCAAAATTTGCAATTTGATGCTGAATATTTCTTTCCTGCTTCACCAATTATACACCTAACTTATATAAAGGGTGGGGTGCAAAACTTGTAGTATATAGAGATTTATTTTGTCTGTGGTCAGTATGAACATATGACCATAATGATCTTGTGTATACAGAAGATAGCCATGAACACCATAACAGATTTGATTCATATTCACACTGTAGCATCACAATACTAGGTTATACACTTATTCAGATTTTGGTGGTCATTGTTCAAGATTTAAGGTTAAAGGTCAACCTTGACCATTTGCAAAAAAAAAGCTTAGTCTACAATATACAGATTTGGTTCACTAAGATAGATTTTGGTGGTCATTGGTCAAGGTTAAAGGTCATTTCATTTTTTTTTCTTACATTGAACACCATTGTTTTTCACAGTGATGAATATGACAGTGAAGGAAGTGAGGGAAGTGATGATGAGGCTAGACCCATGACCAGGAATGAACTACAGCGACGCGTCATGAACACAGTGAAGAAACGCGAGGCCGCTGCAAAGAAACAGGAAAATAGATATGACCTGTCGAATGCCAAAGAAAAAACTGCAAAAAATAAGAAAGATAAGAAATGAACAGTGAAGAAAATACAAGATCTTAATAAACATGTTGGTGATTGAGCAAGAGACAATACTTATAGGCAATGTACTGATAGATAGAACAGACCATCGTGTGGACCTTCACCATAAAGTTTACTAAAATATTGTTGACATGTTGTTTTTTGGACTATATCATCAAGGTGAACTGGGATTTAAAAAAAAATTAAGATGTGAATATTTTAATCATAGTTAATCAAGAAAGCACAGAATTAATTTTAATTAAGTTTGATAAATTCTTGGAAAAAATAAGTTAGAAGAAAACCAGACAAAAAGATAAAGACTTAAAGTTTTCCTTATAAATAATTGTGTCAAATCTACATTGTTTGTACAGATATACACTTCATTTTATAGAATGGTAATATGGTAGATTCTGTTCTATACAATTGTACAGTTTTTTTCATGTATTGCTATAATTTGCTGTCGTGCTAAAACTTAAGTTGACCTATGTAAATATATGTGAGAAAGTTAGAGTAAATGTGAATGAAACACAATTTTATCTGTGATAACAGCAAAAACAATGTTATTCCTACCATTTTATGTATAATGTTATATATTTGCTCTTAACTTGAATGGTTTGATAACAAGTCCTTTAATACTATTTTTTTAAATTGGTGTCGTTTCGAAATATTCATTTGTCTGATTTTCAAATAATCATTTTAAATCTTATGCGTGATGTTGAAATAATCATCAAAAAACCCCTAGGACATTCCTCGTCACCTCTAAGGGCTCAGTTGGCAGATTTCAATAAGCCATCTTATTTGGGGTATAACCCTGTGTGTAGGTTTTAGCATAGAGTTAGATACTGTTTCTACTGAAACTGATTCCTAACAAAAATACCATGTCGATTAACCAAATTATTTGGACAAGTGGTGAACAAGAAAATGAAAAAGATTTTGGCAACAACTACAAATCAAGTACAGTAGAAATGAAATGTTTCAAAATATATGACAGTAAATATCTTTGGACTAACTTTCGAAAAACATCAAAGAATTGCACATTGATTATATTTAATAAATATCCATTCAAAACTACATTTAACATATTTGTTTGTTTGTTGTTGTTTTTGTTTGTTTTTTCTTTGTTTGGTTTTTAGCCAACCGTCATCAGATGGTGGGCTATTCAAATAACCATACGTCTGTGGTCCGCAGTTTGTCTGTAGACAATATTTTTTATTTCTTTAGAAGTACTCGATAGATCTAATTTCATATGTAGCTTTCCCTAGGTCCCTTTTCGTGTCTGTGTCTGGACTGATCAAGAAAATAAAAATGGCCGACAGACGGCCATGTTTATTTTGACTTTTGAAAGTTTGTTATTGCTATTTTATGAGAAGTGATTAATGGATATTCCACTTAATCCATATGTAGATCTGAGACGTGTTATATATGTCTCTGTGTAGATTAATTGCCCTTGTCCCTAGTTGTGATATTTTAATTTTGGGACTGATCAGAAGAAAACAACATGGTCGAGAGGTGGCTATCTTGGATTTTGACAGGGAAGTTTGATACTGCTATTTCATGAGAAGTACTGGATAGATCTCTCCAATTTCATCTGTACATTCCACTTGGCCCCTAGTTGTGCCCATCTGATTTTTGAACTGATCAGAAAAACGAAATGACTGAGAGGTTACCATCTTGGATTAGTGTGTTCAACTTTTGTACTATTAAGAGCAAAAATAGAGAAGAGAAGAGAAAAAGAGGAAAAAAACATATCAAATTTAAAAAAAAAAATAAAATAAAATGATAAATCAATGGTGGGTGCCAAAATCCCTCTAGGATCTCCTTTTTGTTTCTTCATGGCATATCGTCAGTTTTTAAATAATCTATTATCTAGGGCGTGAAGGAGGGGTCTAAGAACGACAGATTGACAGATGGAATGGATAATAGTTGTAGAAGTAGGTGTAATAAAATTTGGAACTGCAAAATCTCAGGTTTGTGAATATCATGTTGAGGCAGAGATCTAGGTCTCTGATCGCGGTAGTGAAGGACAGTTCTACATGAATTAAGGAGACTGATGGGCAGGACATAAGGAAGAGTTAAAATTGTTGATATTTGAAAATAAAAGGGTAGTTGGTATCAAGAAGCTTTCACAAATTTTTGTATCAGTCTTACATAATTAATAGTATTCCACTCCACTGTTATGGTAGAGCCGAAAAAGAGCGTCTTGATCCGTGGAGATAAAAAAAAATTGTTCAGATAATTCAATTGCGGAGGTGGGATGTTGCGTTTTCATGTAATTTTATATCGTTTTTGTTACATATTTATTTGTTTGTTCCAAAATGCTTGAGCTAAAACTAGTCTTCTTTAAAAACGAAGCATATTTCAACGCGTGAATCCTACGACTGAGTCCGAAAGCAAAGTAGCTGAAAATCAAAGCTGATTTTTACATGAAGTTTCTTCCGGATTGTCTCCCTTTGAATATATTGTTACAAGTAGCGATACCAAAGTTACAGGCCTTATTCGTATTCTTAATCAGTTTCATGAAAAACATTATTATCTTGACAAGGGACGTATACGTCCCTGCTTGACCAGAGACGTATATAACACATACATCTCTGTCTTGACTTCATATAATTAGTTAAATTTGATCTATATTTACACAGAGATTATGGTCGATAAAGCAGGACCCCGAGCATCTGCTCAGATTTTACCGATACATTTTTTTCCGTTAATCTCATTATATTTTTTCTCCCCCATTTGCACATTGCTATTGTATTTCATAACCGGAAGTTGGGCATAATCAAATATAAAACGAATTCCATCTTGATATTCCGGACTTTTTTGTTTTTATACATTTTGCTTTCTACAGCTGTATTTATATGCTGGTAGAAGGGTCTTCTCATAAGGACTACAATTTTTTAACTTCAGAAATATTGAGAAAATATTTTTTGAAATATTGGATGGTAAATTTCAATTAAAAATTTTGCAAGAATTACCATCACAAATAACAGATTTCAAATTCACGTATTCAATCCCGGTGCACCACTTTTCTGATTTTTTTAAAAACTTTTTTTTATTCTTAGAACCCGAAAATGAATAAATGACATTTCTGTTTGTTTCTTGATCACGGAAAAAAACTAGCTGTTTTAGGTGGAAAGTCCAAGGATTAAGGCAGAACGATCTCCTTCGTTTTTTAATCATGAAAATATCATTGCCTGATATTTGTTTAACCCAAGCATGAAGTTCCAAGAAAAGTTTTATACTAGAAGATAGTCAAATGAAGGATTTAAGACATTTTTCAAAATTTTCATTGTTTTGGTTGAAGTATGCAGTTAAAACTCGCCGAACAAATGAAAATGAAATGTTTTCTCATTATGTTTTTCCAAATATCATATCATCACATTTTAACAAAAGACGAAAAGTTACATATAAATTTCATACTATCCCCTGAGGTAGTTGTTGAATTTCTTGGCTAGGTGATTTGGTGCTGTAGATCGCGAGTTCGAAGCCCAGGGAGGGCACGAGTCAAAAATGTCTTTGTCAGTTGTTTTATCATGTTCAAGTTTATATTTGAAAAGAAATAAGAAAAAATCCTTGAGGTAGTGTAATCAGAGAAAAAACTATGCAGGTGGTTTATTTAGAGAAGAAATTCTTGGTGTAATTAAATCAATAAAAAAAAAAAAAAAACATGAGGTAATGAAATGAGAGAAAAAACTATTCAGGTACTTTAATAAGAGAAAAAAATCTTGGTGAAATTTAATCACAAAAAAAACCTTGATGTGACAGCGGAGAAATATGATTTTTTGAAGTGCAGTAAGAGATCTAGAAAATGTTTGTAGAACATGAATGTCCTGATTCCATGTATAATGTTATCTTTAATCCCTGACATGTGATCACTTTAACATAAGAAGGTGTAGAGAAATTAATACTTTGATACTATGGGGGTAAATATGAGTCTGTTGAGTTCTTTCAACAAAAACAGATAGTCACCGAATCTGTTGATATATAACATCGATACTAAACGGGAGGCGACTCTACAGGACAAATCGTCATGGTAACGCTTGTACTATATGCCCACATACAATGGCGGGGACGAAAACGGTAGTCCAGAACCTTAGTGACCTTTAACCTAAATGAATAACATTGACCGGTGATCGGTTGGTGAGACAATTTTCACATAAACTCTTTTATAACAAAACTTGACCTTTCTTTTCAAAGCTTTTCTCCTTCCGGTTATTGACATTTCTTTCGACCAATTTTAGGGTTTTCCCGTTAGTCGCCTCCGAGGTTTCAATAACCTAGGATTAGCGTCACCGACAAGTCATAGAAGGACGAAATAGTTGTATCATGCAAATTGACTCATTATTTTGCTGTAATATATGGAATTTTAAATTTATATCAAAAGGTGCTGTTGACTTGTGTGACTTTTAAAGAGTCCATTTTGCAACTTTTCTATTCATGCCAAAACTAATTTGCATCACGCGACATAAGTATGGATATAGCTATAAGCATAAATCACAATGTTCAATAACTTATTGCATGTATTTTGTTAAATCAAATAAATAAATAAATAACATTTAGGGTTTATTAACAAAACAATCAAATACACAAATGCGGAAATCCCCATTTAGTTCTATAAAGCAAGTTTTAAATAAAGCCAGTGGTCAGTAAATTGTATCGTTGAATGGCTTTTGGAAACAACTACATGCAGTACTCCACCGGTATATTGAAAGTGCATTGCTTTATTTGATTGTTCAAAGTGAAAGAAAAGTGAAAGTAGAAATCACCAATGACGTGGAGTAGAGTTCCCAAGCTGTGCTAGTCAGTGATAGGATACTTATTGCAGAAAGATATTTCAAGATTACATGCAGATAATATCCTATTAAAAATGTGAGCTCGCAGACAATTTGAGGGTCAAATTTTAAATAAAAAATTTCATTTTAAAAATTCTTACCAGATTAATATTGAATGGGAAGTTGTGTTTTTTCCTGATAAATAGGTATCAGACCTGAAGAATTCAGTTGAAAAAAAGGAAAGAAAACAAAAAAATTTGATAATGTAGGTCACAGTGACTTGTACAACATATAGTATACAACTGGGCTATTTTTCTATCAAATATCTGTAATAAGATGATGTTCCATTGATAAACCTTTCAGTGCCTTGACAACAATGTTTACCACCTGAAGGAAATCATTATTCATACTTGTCAAATTGCTGACCATCTATGACCTTTGAGGGTCTGGTCATGACATCTTAAACATGTCACACTGTGTATTTTCAATTTTGACAAGTTTTTCCCTCGGAAATCACCTGTCTAATTTTGAT